CGTCGTCCACGAACCCTGCCGCTGCAAGTGTGCCCCGTGCCGCTCGCCCCGGGTGTGCGGAGGGCAGAGGGGAGGCGGGCCCCACTGGGCCGCAGACAAGCGTGCGCTCGGCTGAAGTGACTCTGCCACTGCACTGCCCTGTCTACCTGTCCAGCTGGCCAGGGGCTCCTGGCCCTCGGGGAGTCGTCATGCAGTCTTCTGCTCTGTGAGATGCATATCATGACTCTCTGGCCACCTGCGATTACTGAAAAAATCCCGAAGTCCCCCTCACCCCGACAACCTCCACAGACGAAGGTCTGACTAGGAAATACCATTGACCCGACTCTTCGGTCTGGACGTGGGCCGGACAAACGGCACGTAGGGGCATCCACTGCGGGCCGGGCATGCAGGAGAGGCCCGCTTCCTGGGCCATAGCGATTCGGGCACGCATCCATTATACGTGCGGGAACCCAGGGCTCAGAAAACGAGAGGCCTTCCTGTGAGCCCACTAGGGTAAGGAGCCAGGGTCTCGAACCGGCCGACTGGGAACATGTCTCATGGCAGTGCCACTGTGGGGTGAGGCTGCCCTCCCCTGGCCAGGGACGGTCCATCAGACAGCGCTGCCACCACCCTGGCACGGGCCTGGGGCCGGCTCTGGAGGTAGGATCAGTCCCCCACACAGGGCCACTTCTGGGAATGGAGCTCAGAAGCACGTGAGTGGGGGTCACAGGCTGCCCGGAGGTGGGCTTTCTCTCTAAAGGGCCAGAGGTTCACTTCCGGGACAGTCTGGCGTGCTGAGGTGCAGGGTATGGACTGTGGGGGCGCAGCACGGGACCCTGTGGACCCTCTACGCCCTCCGCCGCCTTCAGCAGCCGGGCTGTAGAGCGTGGTTTAATTGTTCTCAGACCTACATTCCAGGCACCCGCTGCTCATAACGAGTGCTGGCTTCCATTTGCAGTCTCTTTTTAAAAATAAACGCAGATTACGTAGGAAAGAATGTGGAAATTAAGTGGAAAATACCAAGTGGCCTGGGGACTGTGCACAGGACTTGCAGCAAATGTGAAAGTGGCCCTAGTGGCCGCGTCTGAGGGCCACGGGCACCACAGAGCAGGGTGTCATCTTGTCGCGCCCGAGCGGGGAGGGCTCTGAGTGCCGGCCAGCGCCCTGCCTGGGGGATGTGATGGGTAGCTCCCTTCAAGGACGCACCAGGCCGCGCCAGCTGCTCCCCTCCCGCGAGTGGGAGGCCCGTCGGGACGAGGACAGATACGTACTTATGGTGACCGGTCCCTCGAAGGAGTTGGGCAGGTCTGTGACCGACGTGCAGTCTTCCGCGTCAGGGGGAGCTGGGGGCAGGAAAGCAGCAGTCGTGAGAACACCACACACCCTGCCCCATCTCATTTCCACAGTGGAGCACGGAGCTCACCAAAGAAGGAGACCCTTGTGGCGTCTGGCCACACTGCGATCCCCTCTCCCGGCCCTCTGGCTCGGCAGGACCTTGGTGAGCATGCAGAGGCCAGGCACACTCGCAGGCTGGCCAAAAGATTTGAACCCACGACCAGCCTGTGGCCCCCAGCACGGAAGCTCTGCTTGTCCCGGCTGCCCCCAGGCTGGGCGTGTGCTCTCGGTCAGCTGAGACACAGCTGAACTGTAACTTGTCCGAGTCTCCTCCCGGGCTGGGGCCTCTTGGGAAGCTCATGACCACGGCAGCGCCCCTCCACAGTGTGAGGGTCTTGGGCCTTCCCCGAGGGTGTGCACCGGGGACTCTGCAGCCCAGGCCGTGGGGCATCGCGGAGTGTTGGGAACCTCCGTAAAGTACGGACACACGAGGCCCACTCCGGGTTGGTCGCCCTCGGGAATAGCGGGAAGCGTGCACACTCGCCCCTGGGGTCACCACTGTGAATGGCGGGGCTGCCCGTGGCTGGAAACAACCACCCAGCTAGCGTGTCCTCGAGCGGGCCGTCGAAAACAAACCGATCCCATCTCATAACGGATTCGCCTTTACTGGTTAGCTGCCCTCGGGCCACCAGTGCCTAGGGCCTCAGCACAGGGGGCCCGGCTGACGCCTGTGGTCTAGAGCCCACGCCTGCTGGTCGCCAGTCGCCGCCTCGCCGTGCCGCCCGGCCTGCTTCGCTCCCCTTCCCCGGGAATAAGGCCCGCCGACCAGCCCTGTGTGGCGGGCGCTCTTGGAGCAGCCCTGCCTGAGCCCTGGACAAAGGCCCTGGGGCTCCGCCCTGCTGCCACCCCGGGGCCACGAGCCGTCTGTGTTCAAGGGGGAGCTCCTCAGCCACTACGTGTGCTGGGCCCTAAAACTCGGAGAGCTTTAACTGGCCCTGCTGCCTCAGCGGGGTGGGTCCATTTGCACATTGCAGTGTACACAGCGAGTGTGTGTGCACGTGCGCGTGTGTGGGCTTCCGTGTACGAGGCAATCGCCTGTTAGACTGGGCTCTCTCAGAGTTGCTTCTTGGCAAAGAGGAAAAGGAGAGGATGGGCAAATGGACTGACGGAGGGGTGGACAGACGGGGGTAGAGGGGGGAGGACGGACTGACAGCAGACGGACGGGCTGACGGAGGGGTGGACAGACGGGGGTAGATGGGGGTGGACGGACTGACAGCAGACGGACGGGCTGACAAAGGGGTGGACAGACGGGGGTAGATGGGGGTGGACGGACTGACAGCAGATGGACGGGCTGACGGGCAGATGGGTGGTGGGGGTGGACGAGTGGGTGGACAAGTGGATGGACGGAAGGGCGGATGGAGGCAGACAGACGGGCAGACTGCTGTCGGGGAGGGCTGTGATCACAGGTGTTCTAACAGTCCTGCCACGAACTGCTGGTGCCCAGAACAACGGACAAAACCCCACGTTGAACCAAACCAGGACAGGAGGGCCCCAGAACCTGGGGGCACCTCGAACTTGACTACCTCTCTGGCCTTCCAGCAGAACTAACCAGCAGTTTTCTATTTCCAACTGGCGAAAGCAGGCTTTAGGATAGGCCGGTCTCTACGATTTCTCAGAGACTCCTCAAGGGAAGAGTCACGCCTCCATGGTGAGGTCACGGGTCGCCGTCTGGTGGAGCCAGCCCCGCGTCACCCCCAGCCTGTGGCCACCGCATGCTGCCCGTCTCCACACACCGTCAGGCCGCCCGGTTCGTTCCTCTGGACAGCGGCTCCTGGCTCAGCTCTCAGGCCACCTCCCTGCCCTCCAGAGACACACGGACGCAGCGCCGGGGAGCAGCCACCTTCCGTCTCGGCACGGACACTCGCTGTGCTCGCTGCTGGAAGCGCAGGGAGGCCCCTCCGTGGTCTCCCAGGGCTGCCCTTCCAGCCACCGTGTCTCGGAGGGCCCCTGAACTGACCGCTGGGGGCTGCCGCACGAGGCCGGAAGGGCGGGCACGGCTGCTGCTCCCCTCCCCTCGCC